TACAGGTGTGTCGCCTACAGGCAAATATCCGTAACAGGATTTGGAGAAAATGTATCTGATGATCACACAACATGACTTATTTTGCTCCTCTTGCTTTTAAGTCTACTGTCATCTGCAGCTAATGCCAGGTTCTGGGATCCCAACTGTTTTGAGTGGTCTTGTAAGATAAAGATGACAAAAATAGTAAGACACACATTAGCAAGACACACTAGTGTCAGTGGAGCTACTGAAGGTAAAAGGTCAATGTAATCTAATGCTGGATTTGCTCTGTGATATTTAGGTTTTGTGCCATTTTTAATAACAGCTATTAAACAATTTTTTTAATTCTCATAAGAAAAAAGTTACTCTGGTCCCCTTAAAACAATTGTTTTTATAATGCAGTTTTTAATAGTGCAATGTTTCTAATGTACTTTCTTGTTAGAGCAAAATAAATATTTGATTTTTTTTAATCTCTCATGATTCTCTGCTAGCCATAATCTGCTGTACATCTCATGTTGTACAATATCCTAATAAATCTTATAGTTTGCCTATGAAGAAGACAAAATGTGACAATACAAATGGCCTTTTTTAAAATAAACTCTAAAATTTATTTAGACTTGTTTTGTGATTCAGAATATAAGCAGTCTTGATAAATGTTGTGTGAACATGCTAGGTGTATATATACTGTTGTTACAGGGTAGCATATGCTGTAACTGTCAGGTCACATCATTCCAGTCTTCTGTATCCTTGGTTTTCTTTCTACTTGTTCCATCCGTTGTAGGGAGAGGGGTTTTGAAGTCTCTGGTAATAATTATGGATTTGTCTATTTCTCCTTAAAATTTTATTACTTTTTGCTTCATGTTTTATTTTTTTTAACACCTTTATTGTGGTATGATTCCTGTACAGAAAACTACATGTATTTCAGGTGTACAATGTGATGAATTTTGACAGATGTATACACCCACGAAACCACCACCACAATCAAGATGGCTAACATTTCCATCACTCCCAAGGGTGCAGTTTTCAGATTTCCAATTTATCTCTTCCAACCCACTTTAACCCCTGGTTGTTCTCTGTGTCTGTGAGTCTGTTTCTGTTTTGTAGATAAGTTCATTTGTGTCCCTTTTTTTAGATTCCACATGTAAGTGATATCATATGGCATTTTTCTTTCTCTTTCTGGCTTACTTAGAATGACAATCTCCAGGTCCATCCATGTTGCTACAAATGGCATTATTTTATTCCTTTCTGTGGCTGAGTAGTATTCCATTGTGTATATGTGAGTGTGTGTGTGTGTGTGTGTACACTCTGGAACATCTCAGTGACTGAATTTTGAAACTGTCACCCTGGTGTTTGGTACCATGTAGGTACTGTCTTTAGTTGAAATTTTAACCAAATTCTAATACTGGGAAGGAGAAATCTAGAATAGGACCCTTCCTCCTAACTTCTGGAAGCTGACATTATTTATTCCTTTGATCTAAGGCTAAGGTTGTTTTGAGAGAAGGTTATTATATGTGTGTCACTAGAATCAGTTAAATGTGCAAATATGCTCTTAATTCATGACATATTATCTACCAGCAAGAATCTATTTCTTTTACAATGTCAAAAGTAAAGATTTTAGTGTTACTTACTGATTTATTATTGTTTGCTGGAAAAAAATCAAGAATTAAAAATACATTGTTGTTAGGATAGGAATAGTAGATGGTAAATGATGGTTCAGTGGTATCAGAAAATTATTCTAAAGATCTAAATACCAGGCTATTTACCAGAGTAGTTGAATGAAATAATGCAAAAGAACATTAATCCTTAGGCTTAGTGTGACCAGCTGAGTACGGTAATTTATGTTTTTATCTTTTATATAAAAGCGAATCATTCATTAACTTTCACACGGTGAAGGAAGTGGTCTGAAGTCTTTAGTGGTTAATACTGACAAAGTGTATTAACCTTGTGTCCATTATGTGACACATTTCTACATTCTTGTTAGGATCAAATTTTAGCTGTTAACATATTTTCATTGTTGGGGAGATAAAAGAATCTTAACTTGGAAGACTCTTAATGGAATTAATTTGTGATTTATAGGGATAGACTTCACAAATAATAAAAGAGAAGAGCATGGTCCTGGTGTTCAAGGAAAAGAACCTCCTGCTCATTTGGATCCTTCCGCTCCTCCGATGGCCTCAGCGGCTGCCCTGCCTCCGTCCCCACCGGCAGCCACCGGCGCCGCTGCTTTGGTCACTTCTGCCGGGGCTGCCCCCGCTTCCTCTGTTCACCTTCCGGTTTCTGCTGCTCACGGTGCTGGAGCCACAGCCACAGCCGCCCCGGAAGACGTGGTTAGTACAGTGAATGCAGGGGCCCGTGCTGGGAAGAGGGCTCCGAACTTGTTTGCATGTTGGATATTTTGAACTCAGAACATACTTTCCCATGGAGAAAAAAGCCCATAGGGTATTTAGGCCAAGCCACAGAAAACATTAGTTTGTAATGTAAATAATACCTGAAAGTTCTATTACAGTAGTGATAATTCAACAAAAATAGCTTTTCATTTTATGTTTTTCAAAAACTTGTCAGGAAAAATAGATTTAATTTGATAAAGTTTGTTTTTAAATTTTGAGTATTC